CTAACCATCAGCTAGGGTTTCTGTTTGGTTGCTTGGTTTTAGTGGGCTTTAAATTTTTGTCATTGCATTTATTTCCTTATCCCTGTGCTCTTGGAAGAAGATTTTGTTTCACTCTAAATCCTTGGTTCACTTTTGTAATAGGTTTTCTGTCCCCAATGATAATAGATTTCTCCGCCAACGCAGTAAGCCAAATCAAGCCGAATTGAAAAAGTTTAACAACAGGCTTATTTGAGCAAAGAAACTCCCGGTCCCAGAGTTTGGGGCCGGCGGAGCTGCGCTCAAAAACGAACGCAGGGAGACTCTATAGCTTGTAGGCCAGGGGTAATGAGGTGTCCGCCACCGGCTGGGTTTGTGCCCAATTGTGGTCGGAAGCTGAACACTTTAGATAGGGGCTTGGGCAGCTGGCAACTTCAGGGGCGGAAGCTGCAGTAGCCGCTAAGAACGCAATGCTGGTCCTTCTTTCAGAGCTCTCTGAGCAGGCAGGGTTTGGAGAGAGAGAGAGAGACGACGGGAATACGGCTTCCTGGATGGTGCTGGTGATAAGTTTTAGGCCTCCTGAAGGCCTCTCCGCCGACGCAGCAAACCCAATCATACCAAATTAGAAAACCCCAGGTGTAACGGATAAAACGTTCCTGGGTGATTCGCCCGGCCCCGTAGAGAGGGGACAGGGACACCGGGGATGCCGCTTATATATCCCCTGTGGAAGTCGTCCTGAGCCTCTCTGGGGGAGGAGCTGTGTTCGGTGGGCTCTGAAGGGGCCCGTTTAGGGAAAGACATGGGGAGAGGAGCCGAGGTGGATCTTCCACCAGACTCCTTCCAAACATTCCAGACTCTTTGGGTATAGGGATGCCAGGGTGCCAGGGGTTGAGGTGGAGCGCACACCCAAACAGCTGGGTGAGCTGGAGGGTCCAGCCGAACACTTGGTTCTCTTCAGTATCTTAAATGCATGGCTCCAGTCTTCGGGCTTAAGGCATTGTTTTTGAATGGGAGCCAGAGGGGCCAAGGACACCACAAGAAAACCCACAGAAACAATCAACTTGGGCCCATAGGACCTCACAGAGACTGAACTGCCAACCAGAGAGCTTGCATGGGACTGATCTAGGCCCTCTGCACATGTTCAGTTGTGTAGCTTAGTCTTTGTTAGTTCCCCCGCAGCTCCCTGCCTCAGCCGCAGAGACTGTTACGTCATCACCTAGTGCCAGGTGCCTTTCCACCGTCAGCTATGGACAGGAGCTGTGTTAAGTCCAGTGATAATCTAGAATGTTTTCCTGTTGGCCATGCTGGCTTGCCATTCTTAGTATCCTACCAGCTTTCAGCTCACAGTGCCAAGCCTGTTCTTTTGGAAAGTGTTTTGAATCACCGCTTTGTTCTGTTCCTTTTCTTTGCTCACCTTCTTCAGAATCACTGCTGTCTGTCTACTGTTATTGCTTCTTGGCTTTTGGTATTTTGGTGGTAATGGGATTAAACCCAGGACTCTGCACATATTAGGTAAGCCCTCTAATGCAGAACCACATCGCCAGTCCTTGTTCGTTCTCAGTGCGTGGGAATAGGAAATTATTTTTAGGAAGATAAAAGAAAACTATTAATAAATTTAACTTTAACATTGCAAGGGTTTTCTAAAAAGAAGTGTGTGTGTGTGTGTGTGTGTGTGTGTGTGTGTGTGTGTGTGTACCAACATGCATGTGGGTGCTGCTGCGTCTTACAGGGCATTGTGGGCCACCAGTTATGTATGCTAGGAACTGAACTTCATAGTTCTGCAAAGCACAAGAACTCTTAGCCACTAAGTCACCTCTCCAGCCCCCACTTTATAATTCTGTTTTCTTTTATACTAACAAAAAAAAAATCTGACAGGCAGTGGTGGTCTACACCTTTAATCCCAGCACTCAGGTGGCAGAGGCAGGCAGATTTCTGAGTTCAAGGCTAGCCTGGTCTACAAATCAAGTTCCAGGACAGCCAGAGCTGTTACACAGAGAGCCCCTGTCTTGGAAACAAAACAAAAAACCTTAGTTCTTAATGATAACAATCAAAATTCTTTTTTTAAAAGATTTATTTATTTATTACAATATACAGTGTTCTGCCAGATCTCATTACAGATGGTTGTGAGCCACCATGTGGTTGCTGGGAATTAAACTCAGGACCTCTGAGCCATCTCTCCAGCCCAACAATCAAAATTCTTATTTGTTTTATCACCTATATAATGTGTTAAAGTTCTGAAATAATGTTAGTATCCTTGTCTTCTTAAAATACATGGTTTCTTATAGACCACGCTTGCTATGTAGCTGAGGATGACCTTGAACTTCTGCTCCAGCCTCTGCCTGCTGAGCTCTGGGGTTACAGCTCTCACCACCACACTGGGTTTATGTAGCACTGAGGGTCCAACTCAGAGCTTTGTGCTTGTCAGGCAAACACTCTACCACATGCATCTCTAGCCCCTGATTATTTCTTTATGGTTTTAGATTTTTGTCCTCAGGATAGATCCCTGAAGAGATAAATAACCAAAATTTGTATTTGAAGTCACTTGAGATAACTCCATTTATGTGTTATGTTTATGTCATATCAGCTTGTTATGTACTTAAGTCCCTTTTTGTGTTTGGTTTCAACTTTTACAGACTGCTTTTTAAACTAATTTTTTTAACTCTATCTTTTAATTGTCTAAAATGTTCTATGGTTTTTTTCATCAAAATGGCTTTCAAACAGTTATACTCCAAGTTTATTTCATCCCCACACCTTCCCACCCAATAGAACACTTCAAACACTGGTGTCACTGGCAGTATTCAGTGTTGCTACACCAGGAGAGGCTGGTGTGATTAATGCAGTTTCCCATGTAGGAAGAAGGAGGCATCCTTGAGTGTGGGGGCCTCAGCTCACTTGGGAAAAGTGTGTGGTTATGAGGAGGGAGAAAGACAAGGAAATAGCAAGAAAGGAAAACAGAGAACATGTTAGTTAGGGTTTCTATTGCCGTGATGAAACACCGTGACCAAGGCAACTTGGGGAGGACAGGGTTTATTTCGGCTTACAATTCCAGGTGATAGTCCATCACTGAGGGAAGTCAAGGCAGGAACTCCAACAGGCAGGGAACCTTGTGTTATAGCTCTGAAGGAAAAGGTATCCTTGTGGTCAGAAGCCAAGGAATACCTACAGCTGAGAAAGGACAGGTATCCATCCCAGCAGAAGTGTTACAGCTCTGTTCTGGTGGGGGACAGTCTGTGGTCGTCCCCTCCCCGCAAAGCCTTACAGTCCTTGCTCCGGGAAAGGTTTCCCTAATGCAAGTGTAACATCTGCTCCAGCAGGGGAGGGTTTCCCCAGTGAGGTACACAGATCTGCCCCGGAGAAATGTTACAGCTCCGCTCAGCTCCGCCTGAATGTAACAATTCTGCTCCAGCAAGGGAAAGTTTCCGCAGCCAAAGCGGTAAAGTTCTACTCTGCCCTTGCTCCTTCCTGCAGAGTTCTTACAGTTCTGCTCCGCTAAGGGAGTTTCCCACAGAAATGTAGCAGGTCTGCTCTGCTCCAGCCAGAACCGTTACACCTCTGCTCTGGAGAAAGGAAGTCATTACAACAAGCCTCACTCAAGAGAGATGTTGGGAGGGAGGAATCCAGGAGAGGGGCGGCATTTGCCAGGGTGGGAAAAGGGCAGCTGAAACTGAACAGGTACAGGACTTATATAGGGTTTCTTAGGGGTGGAGCTTTCCAAGGTGGAGATTTTCAGGGTGGGGATTGCTGGGATATCATTTACTGAGCTTGGGACAAGCTCAGAGATTGGCTGGACTTCAAGCTCTGGGGTTGGTTGGATTTCAGTTCCTGAGTTGGTTAGGGGCAGGGTATGTTTCCTTGGCTCTGGTCTCAAGGCCAGGGTGTCCTTTCTTTGGCCCTGACTACCCTACAAGCCTACAGGCAAGAGCTGATGCAGCCGCCGTAGAGGAGTGCTGCTTACTGGCTTGCTCAGCCTGCTTTCTTATAGAACCCAGGACCACAAGCCCAGGGGTGTCACCACCCACAATGGGCCAGCCCCCCCCCCACTGATTACTAATTAAGAAAATGCCCTGCAGCCAGATCTTATGGAGGCATTTTCTCAATTGAAGATCCCTCCTTTCAGATGACTCTAGCTTGTGTCCAGTTGACATAAAACTAGCCAGCACAGAACACTTCACAGGAATAACAGGGTTTCTTGAAGCTGTGAAGAACAGCATTAAAATCAAAACACCGAATTTTTAATTAACTTAAAAGTAAAAAAAAAAAAAAGAAAAAAAAGAAAAGAAAAAGTAAAGCCAACACGGAATGAAATCAAGAGCGCCCCCTGTTGGCTGCCGATGTGTGAGACCTAGTCCGTGGGCTTGGCTGCAGCCGCCACTGTTGCTGCTCTGAGTGGATTATTTGCCCCTTCCAATAAACCGGAAGGGGGCAGGTGAGGCTCTCACCAGATTTACCGACTGCTTCCCAGACTGCCAAGACCTGTGGACGCTGGGACAGATGCTGACTCTAAATATTTATGTCCTGCATCTTAGAAAGGAAGATCATTTTTTTTTCTTCTAGCACCTTTCCCCTGCTTTGAAAAAACAAAAGCTAGAGTTCTGCTCTTACTTCCCCCCACTTCTCAAGGTACATGCTATTCAGTATACAGTGTGGGCCAGACAAGAGGATAGCCTTGGAACACTTTTCTTACTTTCTCTGGTCCTCAGTCGTTTATTGTTCACCTTAAGGCAGGGTCTCCCTATGTCGCCCAGGCTGACCTTGAACTAGCCCATGCCCCTGCCTCAGCCCCTCCAGTGTAGGGATTACAGATGGGCACCAATACACCCAACTTCCGAGCTTCGGCTCTCTGGTTTGAAAAAGAAGTGTGTGTATTCCACACACGGGGCTGGCTGTGAGGACGTAAGGGTCAGTGAGGGTAAAGCCCATGGAACCAGGGCAGTGCCCAGGGTACCAGGGCAGTGCGCCATCGGGTCAGCCCGGAACTCCTGCCATTACTAGCGTTTCCTGGTTGTTTCCTTTTTGTTCCACAGGAAATCTGCGAGAATCCCCGATTTATCATTGGCGGAGCCAACAGGACTGACATCTGCCAAGGAGATCTAGGTAGGAAACTCCCTCCACCCATGTCCTGCCAGATGACCCAGGGCTAGTTAACAGGTGCGCCCTCTATTCAAGATGGTGTGTGTGTGTGTGTGTGTGTGTGTGTGTGTGTGTACACCCACATACCATGGCACGCACCTGTGAAGGTCAGAGAACAACTTGTGGGGGACAGTGTTTTCCTTCTGTGTAGGATCTGGAGGTCAAACTTGGGTCATCATAGACATCTCCACACTAAAAGAGACTTTGGACGGAGGTGGCATTTGCCCCGAGGAGAGGCCCAGGTTCTGCTGGCCTGTCCCATGGCCTGTTGCATAGCCCTCCCTCCTCTACCACCTTTTGTTCTGGAAGCATCTTCCCCGGGGCAGACTGTGGGCAAGCTCTGTGAAGGGAAGTTGGAGAAATCATTGAAAGACAATTTAGAACTTGACGCCCCTCCCCTGCAAAAAAAAAGGGGGGGGGCAAGAACAGCTGAAGAGCATCAGCTTAGTTTGTTCCAGAAAGAGAGACTGAGGATATCACGGGTGTTGGGGCTTCCGGCACCTGAGGGACACTGCCTGGAGAGTGTGGACAGACTGAACTCTGAGCCCTTCAAACAATACACTGCTTCCAAGGACGGGCTGGCCGATTCAGAGGGAGATAGGTGGCTTGGACAGTTGTCAGCCTTTCCTTACAGCAGGGTAAGTTCCTTTACCAGCCTCAGTGCCCTTTGTAGACTGGTCCTGGGGCAGCTAGATGATGCGCATCTACTTAGCTGATGGCTCTCTGACTTAGTTTTTCTTAATGCCAGAAGGGAAAATGGGCTCACCCCGCAAAGACAGAGGGCAGCCATGATCACCCACTGCTCTGTCTCCAAGAAGGACGTGAGTCTCCTTTGTAAAAGGAAGTATCAGTGGACCTTAGGAGAACATCCAGTCCTGAGAGAATGAGAGAATGAGTTACCCTGTTCCTCACTCTCCTAGCCAGGGCTCACACCTGGTGAGGGCAGACAGGAAGTAGGGCAGTGGGCAGCCTGAGCATCCCAATTCTTCAGCAATGGGGAACTCCTGGCAGGGGCTGGGCCCCCTCTTCCCAGAACGGCAGCCCCCACCTGACTGACTGGGTCTGTGTTTGCCCGCAGGAGACTGCTGGTTTCTGGCCGCCATTGCCTGCCTGACCCTGAATGAGCGGCTGCTTTTCCGAGTTATACCCCATGATCAAAGTTTCACTGAAAACTATGCGGGGATCTTCCACTTCCAGGTGCGCAAATGGGGGTGTGGTTGAGATAACAGCCAGGTCTCAGGTGATACATTAAAGACAACAACCTCAGAGAAGGCTCGGAAATGTTCCACGTTGCATTAAGGAATGAAAACAAAGTAACTTTCTCTTGGGTTAGTTTAACCAAGAGCCAGCCCGCTTCTCCCTGTGTCTTCAGTCTGTC